GAGGGTGCGAGGGGTGAGGATTTGCATTTTTATTTCAGGAGTTTTTTTTATTCCCGGGGGGTTTTGGGCTGAGCGCTGGGAACAACTAAGCAGGGCAGGGAGCAGGTTCAGACGGTGGCACCTTGGCTGAGAGCAAGCGGGGTGCCCGGCGCAGGGGGGAAAGCTTAACCGAAAGGCACCGTGGTTTTGAGTTCTCCTAGGGCGTGAGGGGAAGTGTGTCCTTGGCACAGGCAAAAAGAAAGGAGACACTTCCCACTCGGAAGGAGGGAAGAGAAACAGCAGCTGCCCCAAAAGGGACAGGACCCAGGGTGTGGGTACCACCAGCATCCCCTTTGCTCTGCTGGGCTGAGCGTACAAGCTGGCTTCGAGGGGAGAGGAGGAGAGGACAAGACCCTTGCGGGGTCTGAGATGGGGGGCAGAGGGGGTGCAAGGAGGTTGGGGGGAGCTGGAAGCATGGGGGTTTCCTCACCTGTCCATCCTGACGAGTTCGTGGGCACCTGCCAAAACCAAAACGGTTGGTGTGAGTGCTGGCAGTATGAAGCCCAGCACCAAACCCAGACCCGCTGCCAACACTATTTTCTGGTGTCTCATCCATGTCCAATTCCTCCTCCTCCTCTGCATTCCTCCCTCCCTTTCCCCCTTCTTTAGCATCAGCCTCTTCTTTGCTCCCAAGCCTCCTTCTCTGCATCCCTGCAGCCTCCTCCCAGATTGCAACCGCAGGCTCTGAAGGGGGGGAAAGGAGATGCTTCTGCTGGCACAGGGCAAGGCGAGGCGCAGCTGCAGTGCCCGGGCTGCGGTCCGATCCCACTCATGCCCAGATGCGCCCACCACCCACCTGTGACTCCCTCCCAGGGCTCTGCAAATTGCTGCCCTGCCATTTGGCTGGGGTCTCGGGTCTGCTGGATGGCTACAAGGCAAACGTCCCGAGCCGAGACACATGAGTTTTGGCCCAGACTGTGCCAATGGAAATCATCTGGTGGAAATAACCTGTAGCTGACCTGCTCTGAGACACCCCAGAAGCAAATCCCCCTGAATTTTTCTTTCCCTCTTGGGTTAAATAGCATGCAGGTGATGTTTTGCAGCACAGAGCGGGGGGGGAGCTGCAAGTCAGCCAGGGCAAAATGGGTGTGTGAAGGCACACGGCCAGTCTTTTCGGCCAGGGATGGATGTCGAAAGCGCAGTTCCCGGTCTCGTGGCTGGCATCGTGCCCACTGCTGCTGCAAAAACCACTTCTCCAAAGGGTTTGCTCAGAGCCGCACAGCCACCCACCGAGCCCGGTGAGAGAAACCGCAGGGCCCCTGACTTGCCCAAGGCCTGATGAAATGGCTCTGCTGGTGAAGGTGGTGTCCCCTTCTGCTTAATTACTGCAGTCCCTGGGAGCCGAGCGCGGGCAGGACCTGGCAGCCGGCTGCACCTCAGCACTGCCTGGTTTTCTAGGGCTGGGGCTAGTGGGGGGAGACCTGGCTTGCTGCAGTCCTATTGCCATACACATGTTAGGGGTCTTTTTAAAGAGGAGGGGGAGAAAAAGCACAAATAATGCTTTTTCAATCACTTGGAAGGCAAAGCTTCTATTTCAGGTGTGCGGTGGAGGGAGGGATGAGTAAATGAGCCAACTCTCGCAGTGGATGGAGAGGAAAGGGTCAGCGAAGAGGGGGCCTGGCAGCAGCCTCAGTGCCCCCAGCACACTCCCGGGGTGCCATGCAGGCATCGTGGGTCCCCCTCCTACCCCACACTCCTCATCGACAGCCTGCAGGCATGTCCAGCCCTTCCCGGGGACACCTTTGCCAGAGGCACCTGGCAAGGACCTGCCTTTGGGCCACTTTACCCGGTGCACATGGGACTCGGGGCAGCCAAACCAGCTGAGCCCAGTGGGACACATCCTGTCCCACAAAGGCCACGCTGAGGGAGCCCAGGAGATGAGATGGGTGTCCGCGGCGGCGGCTGGCGAGGGGAGGGTACGTACGTCTGTTGCTGACAGCTTGTCTCTGCTTGTAAATCAGGAGCAAGATGAGGGGCAGGCAGAGGATGCCCACGATGCAGGCGCCCGTTGCCAGCGCGGCGGCTGTGATATCTGCAAGAGAAGAAGGCAGAGCTGGAGCGGGCCGTGGGGATGGTTCGCCTTGTATTTCCTTGGTTGTTCCCCAAGCTGTACCAAAAGCAAGGGGCAGCACCGGCGTTGCCCCACGCCTGATGCAATGTGGGTCCCATGCACATGGATGTTCTGCTCTTAACGGGATGCACGCTGGCGTGCATTGCCGGTTGCAGAGATAAGCCCTGAGGCATCGGTTTAGGACCTTGACCAAAGTCCTTCATTGCTGAAGGACACCCCAAGGTCTTTCTTTGGTCTTCTAGATATGAGGAGAGAAGCTGGGGCCCTGATAAAGCCCTTTGAAGTCAGTAGAAAGGCTCCCAGCAATTTCAAAGAGTGCTGACTCCGACCCACAGCTGACTTGTCAAAAATCAGGCTGCCTCAAAGTACTCGGGCATCAAAGGGCTTGTTACCTAAGGCCTCTGCTAACAACCGTGCCCCTGGAGAACGCTGCCCGTGGAGGCTCCCCAGAGAGGCTGACAACCTGCAGGCACATCTGTGGCCATCAAGGTCCATGTGGGACAGCTTGTGGTGGGGTCAAGGGCTGCCCAAATCAAGGGCAGGTTCAGCTCAAGCCCTCCTCTCCTGCACATCTGCTTGGGGAAGCAGCTTCTTGCTCCAGATGTGTGTGTTTTGGGGAGGGGGGATGTTTTTTCCCCCTTTTCTTCTTTGCCTGGCAGGACAGGATGCCCCAGCACTTGAGACTGAGGGTTTGAGACAGAAAACACTACCTGTGAGGAACAGTTTCACATGGATGGGCTGGCCCCAACCATGCTGCAAACCAATTTTAGCAAAATCTGCCCGTTTAGCAGCCACCAAACGGGGGTAGACAGAGCAACCCACCAAGAAACCACCTGCATAGTGAAGTGTGGGCACCTCCAGCGTCTAGACACAGCGCTGGGGGAGCTTCACGTGGTCTGAGCGCTCAAGCAAGATTTGGGTTTCCCCTGCTAGAGCATCTCTGCTCGGAGCAAGGTGACATGGGCTCGGGATGGCGGCGAGGTGTTGCAAGAGATTCCTGTGACTCTTTACCTTTCTGTCCCTTCCCATTTCCTTGTGCTAGCGGCCGCTAAATCCCCGATTGTGTTTTGGGGGTCGGGGGGAGCTCAGGTGCTTTATAACCATAAGGTGAATGATCTCCATGGGCTTCAGGGCAGTCATGTCCAGGTGATGGGCCAAAGGAGGTTCTCCTCAGCCTGCGGACGTGCCTGGCAGATGCGCCCCATGGGGACAGCCTCGGAAATCACCCTCCCGATACCCGACTGTGAGGTGGCATCTGGACACCAGTATGTTTACAGTGTATTCCCCGTCCCTGGGGAAAGACATGGATCAGGATAGTGAGCAGCATATTGGAGAAAGGTGTTTGGTTTTTTTTTTCCCTTTACCTTTGCTGGTGGTAGTATGAAATGTGCAGTTTTGAAGCCCTCCTCTGCCTGCAGAGGAGAAGAGAAAAGCATGTTACATCTCAGGGATTCACTCAGGTACCCCAGAGCTCCCGTATCTCCTAGCTGTGCTTGCCTTTGCTCCCCAGTATGGAAAAAATCAGCACAGAGCATCCCAAAAGCAAGACTTTAATCCTGGGAAGCTTACACTGCGATT